GGAGGGGCAGGAAGAAGAAAGGAAGAGGAGGAGGGAAAAGAGAAGGCGAGGACAAGGCAGAGAAGGAGGGAAGAGGCAAAAGGACGACACTTTGTATCACCTTCGCTGCGCGGGTCCGTCTAAGAGCAGCGGCGACGCCGACCAGCAAAACTGCTTTTGGGGCTGGCCCCAAAGCGCTGACGCTCAACAGAGATCTACCCGCGCTCTGGTACTTCCAAGGATCCACCGCCCCTGATCTAACTCTCCACCCCCCGCCCCTCACGAGGCAGCTGCGCCTGCCCCAGGCACCGCGCACGCAGAGTGGATGGAGGACGAAGAGGAGGAGGAGGAGGAAGAAGAAGAATAAAGAAGAAGACGAAGAAGAGGAGGAAGAGAAATAAGAAGGGGAATCGGAAGAAGAAGAATATGAATATGAACATGAACATGAATATGAATATGAATATGAATATGATGATGATGATGATGATGATGATGATGATGATGATGATGATGATGAATCTGAAGATGAAGAAAACATGGATACTAAGCAAAGATAGATATGAATAATGAAAACAGCACTGATGATAATAAGACTAAGAAAAATAATAATAAGAGGAGGAAAAATGAGGAGGAAGAAGAATAACGAGGGGGGCGCAGATGAAGGGAAAGAGGAAAAAGGACGAGGGGGAGGCAAGGGGAGACGAAGTGAAGGGACGACGGAGGAGAGAGAGAGAGGGAGACCAGGGCGTGGCAAAGGCAGAGGACGACGACGACGACGACGACGACGACGACGACGACGACGAAGGCAGACATCCGACGACGAGGACGACGACGACGACGACGACGAGGACGACGACGACGACGACGACGACGAGGATCCAGACATCTGGCTGCTCCAACTCCTTCGGCGCGTGGGCCCCAGAGGTCTTCACCAATTCGCTGGGGCCCCGGCCTTCCCCGAGTCGTCTCGTGACGGTCCCGAGGCCTGGCGAAGGCCCCCAGGGGCCGAAAGTTGACGAAAACCCACCGCCCCACTTGCTTCGGAGCGTCGGTGGCAGGAGGAGGAGGAGGACGCGGAGGACGCGGAGGAAGAGGAGGAGGAGGAGGAGGAGGAGGAGGAGGAGGAGGAGGACGCGGAGGAGGAGGAGGAGGAGGAGGAGGAGGAGGAGGGAGGAGGAGGAGGCGGAGGAGGGAGGAGGGAGGAGGAGGAGGAGGAGGAGGAGGACGCGGAGGAGGAGGAGGAGGAGGAGGAGGAAAACGAGAAGGAAAAAAAAGGAGGAGGAGAGGAGGAGGAGGAGGAGGAGGAGAGGAGGACGCGGAGGAGGAGGAGCAGGAGGACGCGGAGGAGGGGGAAGGGAGGAGGAGGAGGAGGAGGAGGAGGAGGAGGACGACGCGGAGGAGGAGGAGGAGGAAGAGGAGGAGGAGAACGAGGAGGAGGGGAAGGAAGAGGAGGAGGAGGAGGAGGAGGAGGAGGAGGAGGAATAGGAGGAGGAGGAGGAGGAGGAGGAATAGGAGGAGGAGGAGGAGGAAGAGGAGCAGCAAGAGGAGGAAGGCCATGCCCTCTGCCGGTTCCTGCACGCCCGCGGTTCCGGGGGGGGAGGCTGCCACGGGGGGGCGACGCGCGGCCGACCCGCTTGAGCCCGTGGGCGGCCGCGGCGCCGCTGGCAGCCCGAGGCGGGCCGAGCTCATCGTTGTCGCCGCCGCCGCCGTCGTCGTCGTCTGCGTCGTCGTCGTCGTCTTCAACGTCGTTTGCGTCGTCGTCGTCGTCTTCAACGTCGTTTGCGTCGTCGTCGTCGTCGTCGTCGTCGTCGTCGTCGTCGTCGTCTTCAACGTCGTTTGCGTCGTCGTCGTCGTCGCCGACGTCGTCGTCGTCGTCGTCGTCTGCGTCGTCGTCATCGTCGGCGTCCCCAAGACGCCTCCAAGAGGTCCCCAAGAGGCCCCCAAGAGGCCCCAAGAGCCCCCCAAGAGGCCCCCAAGAGGCCCCCTGAGGCCCCACGAGGCCCCCCAGAGGCCCCCAAGAGGCCCCCAAGAGGCCCCCAAGAGGCCCCAAGAGGCTCCAAGAGGCCCCCAAGAGGCCCCACGAGGAGCCCGAACGACTCACACCAGGACGAGGGGCCCGAACGACTCACACCACGAAGAGCCCGAACGACTCATACCACAAGGAGGGGCCCGAACGACTCACACCAGGACGAGGCGCCCGAACGACTCACACCACGAGGAGCCCGAACGACTCACACCACGACGCGGGCCCCGAACGACTCACACCACGAGGAGCCCGAACGAGTCACACCAGGAGGAGGGGCCCGAACGACTCACACCAGGATGAGGGGCCCGAACAACTCACACCACGAGAAGCCCGAACGACTCACACCAGGACGAAGAGCCCGAACGACTCACACCACGAAGAGCCCGAACGACTCACACCAGGAAGAAGGGCCCGAACGACTCACACCAGGACGAGAAACCCCAAACGACTCAAATCACGAGGAGCGCTTTCTCTCCCTCCTCCTCCGCCTCGTCCTTCTCCCGCTCCCCCCACAAGGAGGTTGTACAAGGAGGCGGGAGGAAGGAGGAACAGGGGAGATATGCGGGGCCAAGCGGACGCACGCCTGAAAAACACGACTGTCGGCATGCTTCGCAAGAGTTGCTGCTGTGAGATGGGCTGGTGGGGATACGCGAAGCGTAAAGAATTACACCGGTCCAGGGCCATAGGTCCACAGGCCCATAGGCCATAGGTCTACAGGTCCACAGGCCCATAACCACAGGTCCATAGGTACATAGGCACAGGTGCATAGATCCATAAATCCATAATAGATCGTCCACCATCCACAGGTCTGTAATTCCACAAGCCCATCGCCACAGCCACACAGGTCCACAGGCCAGCTCCACAGGACGCAGAGGGGCCCACGCCCAGTGGCTTGAGAATGGGAGCCAAAGCAAAGGAATACCCCCTCCCCCCTGAGGGGGGAATTTTCTTCATGCGCTCTGCTGACAGGAGGCACAGGGGTCTATGCCCAATGGCGCGAGGATGGGAGCCTTGGAAGACGATATCTGCGAAACGGCTGCTTGCTCATGGAAGGGGTGCGTGCGACGCATTCCTACTGCATCGCCACGCGCACCCAATGCTGTTTTTGACAAGATCTCGTGCAAATCTGTGCTACTCGGCGGCTCCAAACGTTTCTGTACGGAATGCTCGTCGGGGCTCACAACTCACGAGCAGGTGACGAGCGCTCTGCTGCATCACCAAAGGCGGTAGGTTGCTACTTCTGGAAGTCGTGCATCCTCGGCAGCTGGCTTCCCGCAACAACGGGAGCCCTCCGCCTGGCGGTTCCAAAAGCGCTCCTGTGGGCTGCGATCGAGCGCGGACTGGCACCGCTCCTTCTCCTCGGTGTGGCTGGGGCAACGACTCCTGAGATAGTCGCCCCATTGCCGCCTCCCCGTGGAATCACGCCAAACCGCCGCAGTCTGCAATACAGGAGAGTGCCGAAGGCGCGCTGCAAATCGGCACGTCGGTTTTCAGCCCGCGTAGCGCGCAGCTCGCGCTGTTGGTGCCACTCCTCCTCCTCCACCTCCTCCACCTCCTCCACCTCTCCCAACAGGGCTCCGCAGACCCTATGTTCCACAAAAGCGGAACGGTTGTCCTCGCATTCCACAAATTCTTTCTCGCACTTGACGTGGGTGAAGCAGTCTCCCGCGCTTTTATTGCAGAGATTGCCGTCGGAGCATGGGTGGCTGCAGAGCTCCTCCACAGACAGGGGTGCCCAATGTGACAACCTGCCCCTCGCATCCATTACCTCGGCCGCGGTGCGTCGCCGCGCCAGTGGTGCCTGTGGCGCCAGTGGTGCCTGTGGTGCCAATGGTGCCAAGTGGTGCTTGTGGTGCCAGTTGTCCCAATGGTGCCCGCGATGCCTGCGGTGCCTGTGGTGGCTGCTGGTGGCTGCTGGTGCCTGCGGTGCCTGCGATGCCTGTGGTGCCTGTGGTGCCTGTGGTGGCTGCTGGTGCCTGCTGGTGCCCGTGGCGCCCATGGTGCCCATGGTGCCGTGGTGCCCGTGGTGCCCGTGGTGCCCGTGGTGCCTAGTGGTGCCTGTGGTGCCTGCGGTGCCTGTGGTGTCAGTGGTGCCTGTGGCCTTCTTTTCCAATATATGAGGTGTAAGCCGGGGTAACAGTTGGGCAGGCAACAAGCCCACAACATTCAAAAGCGCGTTATTTTTGATAAGCGTTTGCCGCTGGGGGGTGGGGGGCGCGGCAAACTTTTATCAGAAATAATACAATTCCCTAATCCTGTCGGCTTGATGCCCGTTACTGCCCTTGGCTTACACCAGACATATTGAAAATGAAAACCACATCACCTCTTGGTTTGGCGGGGTGTGAGGTGAGGTGGGGTGGGTGCGGTGGGGTGGGGTGGGGGAGTGGAGGGTTAGTTGGAGTGGGGGGGATCGGAAAGGTCAAGTTGTTCGAACCTTTTTTCCCCCAGTTACGCTGTGCCTTAAGGGTGCTTAGTTTGTTTTGCAGAAGGCTCCGTTCGTCTGGCCGCGGGTTCCGCGTCGCCCCCTATTGTTGCGTTCATTTGTTTGTTCCCGAGAAATTCGTCATTAAGAGGTGAAGCTCCCCCCCGGTGTTCCGCGTCGCCCCCTACTGTTTTGTTCATGTGTTTGTTCCCACATACTGTTTTGTTCATGTTTGTCTTCCCGAGAAATTATCCATTAAGAGGTGAAGCTACCCCCCCCCCTCCCCCCACACACACACACTCCCCGCGTCTTCCGCGTTGCTACGCTATGCTATGCTATGCTATGCTATGCTAGGCTATGCTATGATATGTTGTTATATGTTATGCTATGTTACGCTGTGTTGCACTATGTTATGCTAATTGGGGTCACCCTCGTATCATTTGTGGGTTTGTAAAACAAGTACGAATCGCAAAGAAGAGCGCAGATCCGCAGCCACTTCGGCGGGGGTGCCCCCTCCAAGAATTTGTCCTGTAGCTTAAACGTTGCTTCCGCTGTGGCCCTTGGACTGCAACATAATGACAAGCAAGCACTGAAGCAAGAAAGCAAGCAAGCAAGCTTGCAATGACTCCACATGATACAAGAATGACCATGCCAAACTACATTGAAGGTGAAAGCAATATGGGCCGAGTTTTTCTACCATATAATCATGTTTGACAGTGGCAGTGCGAACAAGTGTTCAGCGAACATCATCGGAAATCACTTGATGTTCAAGATAACGAGGTCCACAATCAAACCGCTGTGGAAAGGAATGCAGTAGGAACGCAGACTCTGACAGATATCTATATAACAACTTCAAAACACACTATAAAGTATACCAGCGTTGACCCCGAAGATAATACAACTATTTTCGGGACTACTACTGCTGCTGCTGCTGCTGCGCGCCGCGGGCGGAGAAAAACAAATGGGCATGAGCTGGCTATACGGATATTTCGGGCAAGGGCATGAGCTGGCTATACGGATATTTTTCGGGCAGCTATACGGACATTTCGATCGTGCCCTGGGGCTACGGGCAAGATTTCCACCGGATACTTTGGGCATGAGCTGGCTATACGGATATTTCGGGCAGCTATACGGATATTTTGATCGTGCCCTGGGACTACGGGCAGGATTTCCACTGGATACCTTGGGCATGAGCTAGCTATACGGATATTTCGGGCAGCTGTACGGATATGTTGATCGTGCCCTGGGGCTACGGGCAGGATTTCCTCTGGATAATTATCCAATTATCTTTCTAGGCAGATAAGAACCCCTTATTCCGCAAGCTCCATCTTCGGGGAAAAAGCTATGAACAACGGTCTAACAACTACGAAGAACTGTGTAACGCAAGCTATACACAATTATGTAAGACGTGTTTAAACATATAAAAGTAAACGCAGACGTTCTGTAAAATTGCCTCATTCCTTTGTCAGCGGCCTGACTGTACAACCACAGGAATTCATAGGATGCTGAAGATAATGAAGCCGACAACCATAATAATTGATTCATGAGTCTTTCAAGGTGATGAAGCCCAAAACCATTGGAAAGCATTGGATGATCAAGATGATGGGGCCTACAACCATAGGAATTCATTATACGTTTAAGATCATTGAGGCCTACAACCATAGGAACACACATAATGCTCAAAGCCATGAAGCCTGCAACTACACGAAATCATGAAAACATCTTATTCATATACCTATAGCCATAGAAATTGAAAAGGCTTTCTAAAGGATGAGGCCTGCAATCATAAGAATACGCAGGATCTCTAAGATGATGAAGCCACACGCCCTCAAACATGTTAAAATATGCAACCCCTCACAAGGGACACTTTTGTGGCTCTATGAAAGTCGAGGCGGTATGGGCAAAATCATGCCATGGGATATGACCCCCCCGCTTACGACTATATCTGGCATTCAATAGTACGTGCAATTACCCAGCGGGCATGACATCCCAAAAAGATGAGCACCAGGATGCCCAGCTGCAACTGCACTCTGACGTAGGTGAACCATCACCGCTCGCACCTGTGCCAAATCTCCAACCTGATACAGGTTTGTAAATCCAGGAACAGCCACTGGCGCGGCAGAGAGTCCAGCTGGCACAACGCCAGGAATTGCGGGCAAAGGCGCACCAGCCTGAAGAGGGACAGCTGCGACCCAACCTGCGAGAAGATGTGCAGGAGCGCCTTCTACAAAGACAAACCCAGGATCCAAGGCCTTGTACAACCAAGGGCGAACTTCAATGAAGCGCATGTAGGAAGAATGCAGCTGGTGCATTTCCTCTGTCCAATCGCCGCTTAAGAATGGCCCCTGCCAGAGCTTTGAAAATAATGGCACCAGGTCTGCCGTCTTGCAGCTCTTGCCTTTCAGAGGCGTGGCCAGGCGAATGAAGTCCACAACATCTGTGGAGGCAGAGCCCATGCCATGGCAATACGCCAGATTGCTATCACCAGTGTTGAAGATTGCTGTGATCGCATCTCCCCAATCCTTGCCAGTCACACCTTTAGGTAGGAGGTATTCACGATATTCCACTGGCTCTTGGTGCGTTTCACTCTCCACCATGGCACTCACAATTGCATGCACTGTGTTAGCGTGTCCACGCCCCACCGCTGTGTCCTCAAAGAAACAAGCGAGATTCAGTGGATCGAGACCACCGGTGAGCTTGGAAAGAGAATCCGCCAAGCACGAGAGCAATATAGGGTGCGTCGAGTTTTGTTGGTAGAAGCGGATAAGGTCGGACACTTTCCAAAGGGCGGGAGGAATGGCCTCCACTTCACGAATTTGATCCACAACTTTGGTGTCATCAAACCAAGGTGTGCTGGAAGAAGCCGCCTCTGCGCTGGCACTCGAATTTGCTTTCCCAAGTGATGTGGATTTGTTATCTTCAGTTGACGGGCCTGTCTGGGTTGGCCGACTCTTCTTTGCTGGTTGAGAATGCAACTCAATAGAAGCAGCAGGCTTCTTGCGCATGGTCTTCGTGGCCGACATGATACATACCGCACTGGAATGCTGCATGGCATTGAGCCAAAATTGCTACTGATCATGACCATGCGCGGTCATGATGATAAGGTGGTGGTGATGATGATGCGTCGGATGAGGTTCTACGTACCTTTTCCCTGCTCCAGCCCTGAGTTCTGACCAAATGTTTTTTGTAGACGGAAAGGGGGAGGGAAAAGAAGCAAGAGGGAGGTGGAGGCAAAGCTGGCGCATGTTACGATGACTTGGGAACAATGCAAGAAACCTTTGAGATCTTTGCCTAACTTGAAAGCTTTGATAACTTTGAACGTCTTGAGCTAAACATATTTCGCCGACATATGGTTCGATTCCAGGGGATTTCGCTAGGGACGAAGCCTGGGGGGATGTGAATTGATCACATAATCTGATGCGCAAGGTGCCAGGCAACGAACGACCCAAGAACTGCTCCGGGGATAGACGCAGGTAGAAAAATGGGGAGCGCTAATAAAAAGCTTCCTTGTTGTGAGGCCGACCTGGGTAGTTGTGTGATCAGGTTGGTGCGATGGATGTGGTGGCCTGCGGTCACTGATACGACTCCTCTGGAATAAAATTATTCCAATCAGATATGTCCCTTGCCAATCCCATTTGTATGCATCCCGTTCTTCTGTTTCCCTGCCCTGGGATAGCGTTTTCCCACTTGTTGAAACCATCAAGTTGTTGTTCTCTAAATACCGATCCCCCTTCCCTGCGCTTCCCCCCAAGCCTTTTTCAGGGGACAGCTCATTACATATCCGATCGGAGCGTGGGTCCGAATGTTGGTGTGAAGCTTCCAACAGCACATACGCACACCAACATACAAACATCAAGACGTACAGACATAGATAAATTGAGTCTCCAAACAATCTGGAAAAGGTGGAATTTAATGGTACCTCGCGCTCTCCACAGGAACCTCCCCTCAGGAACCTCCCCCGGACCCCTCCCTCAGGAGCCTCCATACTTCGGCACTGCGGCACTTCGGTACTTCAGCACTTCGGCACTTCAGTACTTAGGTACCTCGCTAATTCGCGGCACTGCAAACAAACCTGGGCGCAGACCCTCCTGAGCGGAGCGCCTGCGAACCCACGGAGGCGGGTGCTGTGGACAATGCCGGGCGGCAGCGCGAAAACCTGGGCGCAAGTGCGCCTGCGAACCCAGGAGGCGAATGCCGCGGACAATGCCAGACGCGTGCACTTGCGAACCCAGGAGGCGCCCGCAGGTGCCGAACGAGCGCCAGAAGAAATCGGGCATCGAGGATCAATTTGACGCGCGAAACCCAAGCTTCTTCTTTCTGCTGCTGCAGGTGTATCGCATCCTACTCTCGACAAAGAGCACCGACCACGTGACGCCTATCCCGCTAGATGTGCAGGAAGCTGGGGCGGAGGAGCTTGCAGAGTCCTGGATGGCCAAGCTCGACGAGTTCGTGAGGGACTCACTGCGACCGACGGACCGCGTGGCTCAGGCAAGCAGCGCGGCCGGTGCGCAAGGCATTTTTCAATGCGTGCGACAACCTTCTCCAGGAGCCCAAAGTCAAGCTGAAGCTTTCTCTGAAAAGGCTTTCACGAGTGCACGCAGGCTGTGAAAGGCGCGCTACAGAAGACAACAAAACGCATCTACTCCCACATTTTTCCCAGCAGCACCAATGCTGCGTACGTGCGCCTCAGAGCGAAGGGTGAACCGTGAAAATCATCCTGCGTGCTTCAGACCAAGCGCAGCCAACCGCACGGAATTCACCTGTTCGATACACACGCTGGCGCAAGCGGCCGCCCCGTGAACGCGCCGGCGGGCCTGAACATCTGGCGCCTGCCAGAGGACCGTCTCTGCGGGCGCGCTCGGCCCTCCGCACACATTGCTAGTAGAGCCTCTCGCCAAGTTTGGTGTGCCTGTAAATCTGTAAATCGTTTTACAACCAGGAAACTGCGAAATCGTCAGGCCCCGGCGGCGCTCCTTGCATTTCCGCATCGATTCACAGATTTACAATAAATCCGCGAAGCGATGTTCATTGTCTGATGCGTCCTCCGCCAAGCGGTACGGTGTTTTTGTTCTCCTTATTTTCAATCGGTTTTGAAAGTTTACAATAAATTTATACATCGCATTGAAAACCCAGGAAGAGCCGCTGTGCGTGCATTTTAAGCGGGGGTCGGCTCTTGTGAGAGAGCGTGATCCACCGCCGCTTTACTGTGGAAAATTGCCAACCTTTTCCTCCGGAGCCCGGGGGTCTCCCCCCCCCCCCCTCCGAAAATCCCCCCCCCCCCCCCCTCCCGGCAAAACCCCCCCCTCCCCTAACCCTCCCCCCCCCTCCCCTCGAAAACCGGGGGGGGTTCATTCATTCATTCATGGGCATTAAGAGGTCAGCCAAATCCAGGCTCGCCTGACCTCGGGAAAAAGATTAGTCGGAGTCGTCCGAAACCTGCCCTGGAAACAAAGGCGGGGGGCCCCTGGCCCCTGAATGGGCCAGGGAGGCCCTCGCTCCGCGATGGGAGGAGGCGCCGTCGGCCTGGGGCCCGAACAGAAACCTCGACGCCTCCTCCTCTTCCTCGAAATCGCTCGCGCGAGACGGCGCAGCGACGGCAGGTCGGACAGACTCGACCGAATCAGCTGCGGGCTGCGCAGCTGCTGAACGTGGTTCCCACTCCCCACCCGACTCCCCACCCAGGTCCCTCCACCACTGGGCAGCTCCGTGGAGGACTCTCCATGGACGGGAAAGGCGAGTGCCTTTGGGCCAAGGCAAAGTGCCTCGGCGAAAACAGCGAACCTGGGCTTTCTTAATCTTATTGCAGGGCCCTAGAAGATGCTTAGGCGTGCGGGTGCAATACGACCCACACCTCGAGCAATACAGGACAGGAATGCCTGAGGTGACAACCTTGCACGCCCACATCCTATGTCCTGGGGAAGGAAGGTTACAACCCCTCACCAGGGCCCCAAAGGTGGGAGGAAGAGCAGCACACCGATTCGTGCGCGACGGGGGCGATCTGAAGCTCTTAGCGCACGATAGGCACTGCCATAATCGGCCATTCCACAAAACGTTGTGCTGCCTATGGTTTCGGGGGGGTGGCCTTAAACTCTTAGATTCACGTTCCAGGGTGCCGTGCATTTCCCTAGCTGAGGGCCAGAGTTCTAAAATCGACACCGCTGCTTTAAATACAGCAAACCAACCGTCTAGGGATTCTTTACAGGCCTCGGCGTCCTGGGGGGAGGCATATTCTCGGGCGGCCTCACGACGCATGATATCGGCCCAGGCATTCCCTATTACACGTAGTTGATCTGCCCATTCACGATCTCCACGCTGGAGCGTCTGGTGTGCCTTGACTTTGTGTATGGTAAACTGCTTATCCAACCTCTGAATAGCTCGCCAGTGACCTGCCTGCTGGGAGGTGCCGTCCAGAGCTCTGAACGAAAAAGCACATCCTGTGAGCAGGGCCTGGCAGTCTGCAAATATATATGCCTCTTCATCGAATCTTGCTGGATCTTGCCACAGGTGGCGGAGTCCCTGGAGGGGCCCATGATGTTCAGCCCAGGCAGCGTTTTGTGGGTACTTCCTGGGAAGGGGACCTCGGACCGCACGTTTAAGATCTCCTCCAGCAGTGATTTCCACAGCCGTCCAGCCCGCTCGGGCCAAAAGAGGGTTCGTGGGTTCCAGACAGCTGCCATCGATGAAGATCTCCGTAGGGCACGTGAAATCGAACTCGTCAATTTCGCCGACCCTGTCGCAATACTCAACTATATCATCATCAGGAGGAAATGTCTTGATTTCGGGCACTGGGATCCACAGCTGGGTGTATAAGGGGTCCTTACCCGCTGAACTTCGGGCCGCATCCACAATAACAGGGTCGACATTTCCTCTTGCTGAGTCCCCATGGGGACAATGCCATAGCCTATGGAAGACAGTGTCGCACAGGCCGCAGTACGGGCAGGTCGGCTCCACCTTGAAACCACGCTTCCAAAGAAGATGACTGGTGGAAGTCGTGCTGCTTATTAAATCTCTCAAGCGCCTCTTCGACTCGTAGCTCCACTTGCTGCTGTTCCAGACCTTGCTGAAAGGGAAACCCCACAACCCTCGCTTCCTGATCTCGTCGGCCCTGGGGTGGATGTCCTCCTCGGGGACCTCGGAATAACATAATTTTTTGTGGGCGGAACTTTCCAAAAACTTCTGTCTGAGGTCTGCCGTGAACAGCTTCTGTATGAGAGCGGGTGAGGACTCCGTGATCTTGAGCTCGAGCTCATTGCTGGTCTTGACCGTAGTAGGGCCGTTGAAAATCCAGCCCGCCTGCTCAGTCCAGAAAAGGGAGTCCGTGAGAGGGCTCCTAACCTTGTAGGCCCAACTCTTTCCCCGAGGAACCTGATCGAAGAACCTCTGGGAGAACTCGTAGCTCTGGCGAAGCTCCTTCGGGCTGAGAGCATCTGGCGCCTTTATCTGGCTGTCTGTGGTCATCCACCACTCCCTGCAATGCCGCTTGAGGGTCGCGCTGGCGTGGGAGATGGGGTCGGAATCTGGCTTCATGAGCCAACAAATATTGATGTCACAGCCAAGCGACCATATGCCGAGTAGCCGTGCAGTCTGAACTCTGAGCTTTTTTTTATTTCCTGAGGTGAATGTCCTGAAACTTCTTCCCCATAGCATATTGAGGGCTTGACTCCGCAGGTGTAGATGTTGACCTTTTTTGGCTTGCCTTGTTTGCGATCGCGAAGACGACAGATTTTGGGGAGGCGCTTCATGTTCTCCTTCCACCTGGACATCTTTTTCGATCTGCATCCTTTGGCAGCCCTGATCTTCCCCACGTTATAGTCAACCCCCAGATTGGTAATGGAATTCTTGATGAGCCCAGAGTACTCCCCAAGAGCCCCAGGAGCCTGCTTCAAGACCTCGAAGTTGTTAGCCGTGAAGTTAAGCTTCTTCATATGGATGGGGAGCTCAAGGGTATAAGTAAACTTATGGAATATCCTAGCTGCAAGATCCGCCAAGCCATTCAGGCATGATTCAACAGTGCATCCTATCGAGTCGAACGCCAAGTCGTCGATGTGAATCGAGAGGGACGTGCCATCGTTG